TTCTTTCTTCCTTTCTTTCTTTCTTTCTTTCTTCCTTTTCTTTCTTTTTTTTCGATCGAAGTCCAGTTTCAATCTCTTTTATTATATACTTTTTATCATTCATTATCATTCTGTTCCAATTATTTCCTCTCTTTCATTTTAAAACAATGGAAATTTCTTAAACTTTAATTAGGTAGTTATCTATCCCTTATAAGTAGAGTGCATATCACATGAAAAAAAAAAAACTAAATAAATTGTACAAATGAGTGCAAAGTTTTGTAGGTCTACTGAGGACTACTGAACTTACTAATTTGTCCAATATCTTAAAAGGGTTTTCACAAATATATGGTATGCAATCTAAATAGATATTACAGAATTTTATAGCATAGACCATTTTACTTTGCAGCATAATAATAATAATAATAATAATAATAATAATAATAATAATAATAATAATAGTCTAATATTTTATAAGATTTATCTACCTTGACGATCTTACTTTGGAATGTTTTATCTTAAATAATATTTCTATAGAATTTAAAATTTTGAATTTTAAAATAATGTTTACAAATTATTATAGAGCACTATTAAATTCACTGTTTGATTATTTAGTACGATTGACTATTACAAATACATAAATTATTGATTTTTCTCCCCAATTTAATGTTAGACTCATTATATTTACCTTTAATTTATTTTATCAAAATACAACCTCAGTAAAAACTGGACCACCACATTTTATCTTCTTTTACTTTCAACATATATTTGATACATATTTTATCATATATATACTGAGCTCTACTTACGAAATACCTGTTGAAATTGCATTTTTTTCGGTTACCTGTTCCCGACCAACCACAATGCGAGTGAAAAACGTCTGCGCATGCTCTGAATACGTATGCAAATTAGTCAAAACATAAGTAAATTTGACTTTCAAACATGCCTGATAAATTGGACTTCACAAAATGCCAAAACTTAGTGTCCATGCTTGAAACTTGAGGCTAATTCTTTCATATTGTGTTTGTTAATACAGTATCTTGGTCTGACAAAAGTATACTCTCGAACTTTTTTGTATACTTGGAGAAAACAAACATTTATTTTCTCACTCAAACGTCCTCTTCAAAATTCTTAGAAAACGTGCTGAAGTGCACGCATGCGCAAACGTTTTTCACTAGTGTCGAAGCCGGCAGCATTTGGTTGTTGTTTTCAAGAAGTGATCTCTACGTTATACTGTATTTGCACTCGTTTTCAAAAACGCTTACTTTTGTTTTGTTTCACTTTGTGTCCGCCTAACCATCCAGAGTGACCGCGATTTGGTTTTCTGTTGACTAAATCATAAAATAATGATTTAAGGATAAGTTAAGATGTTTATCAGAGCTTTTATCAATATCATTAATAATGGGAATACGTACATGTAATAGGACTCCATGCTGTCCAATTAAGAAATAATTGGACGAGAAAAATTCGGAGGACTGACAAAATTGGATGAGGCCGTAGGCCGGGTCTAATTATTTCTTGATTGGGCAGCATGAAATCCCATTATCTATTAATTATATAGCTGCCTAATTAATCCCATATCAACAAGACCTGTCTAATTAAGAAAATAATTGGACAGTTACCTATATGGGATTAAGAAGCTGTAGTTACCTATATGGGATTAAGAAGCTTTGAGAAGCTGTATAATTATAACAATAATAATGATAATGATAAGAATAATACTAAAAGAAATTACTATACTGAATCATTTTTGTTAAAGTAAGGGTTTGGAAGTACATATTGTGTTGATAAGACACCATTGTTTTAAAAATGGCACGTGTCCATTGCACCTAAAGATATAGGTTGCTATCAATAGACGTCACTTCCGGTAATAGCTCTTTTTTGATGGCTTGTAGARTCCTGGAGGTTGTTTTGATCTCTTGTTTTCTGGTTTGATGTCGTGAAAATAGTCAAATACAATAGTTTGAGGACTTATTTTGATATGTTTTGACTTAGCATCCTCTAGTTGCCCCCCCAGTCAACCGCTTGTTTGCCCTCCAGGCAACTCCAAAAAGTCACGTGATTGATAGTAAGCAATTAAATCAAATTCTGAGATATTCTATCTAATTTGTTGAGATTGTGTGACATAGCAACGGTAACTAAGGGGAGTCGGAACTATGAATGACATCAATAGGACGTCTGCAAGATGGCGTCATTTGACTCCCACTAAAGTGCCTCGCGAGTTTTTTTACCTCATTTAAATTTGTATACCCTCATGAGAATAGCAAGACAATTGGTGTGAATTAACTGAACAAAAGAAAGTGTGTTAGGGAGTCTGGTAGTAGAGGTCAAAGACGCCATCATGCAAACGTCCCGGTTCGTCGAGATCATAACTTTATGCTGTTGAATACATTCTGTGCCGGGGATAAAGGGATCGGGGGATCGGGGGATCGGGGGGATCGGGGGGATCGGGGGGATCGGGGGGATCGGGGGGATCGGGGGGATCGGGGGGATCGGGGGGATCGGGGGGATCGGGGGGATCGGGGGGATCGGGGGGATCGGGGGGATCGGGGGGATCGGGGGGATCGGGGGGATCGGGGGGATCGGGGGGATCGGGGGGATCGGGGGGATCGGGGGGATCGGGGGGATCGGGGGGATCGGGGGGATCGGGGGGATCGGGGGATCGGTGAGTGGGTGTTTTGATTGACAGCTGGTTTATCCCAAGTAAGATAGTCACATGATAAGTGTGAAATGTGAGATTTCTTTGAAAGGAATAAAATATTGAAAAGCACAAAACCTATTAACAAAACTTAGATATTTTGTGTATGGAGAGTTTTCACGATAGCCTCCCTTCGCAAAGCCTAAATCGCTAAATTCGATCGGTGGGTTAGCCGTGCCCTGAATTAGATCAGCCCAGAGGTTGTTTCAGGGTTCGATCTGTGAGTTAGCCATGCCCTGACTTAGATCAGCCCAGAGTTTGTTTCAGGGTTCGATCTGTGAGTTAGCCATGCCCTGACTTAGATCATCCCAGAGGTTGTTTCAGGGCTCAATCTGCCTGAGTTAGCCATGCCCTGATGTATATCAGTCCAGAGGTTGTTTCAGGGTTCGATCTGTGAGTTAGCGAGTTAGAGAGTTAGATCAGCAAAGAGGTTGTTTTAGGGCACCTAATTTTTCCCCTACACGTGTTGGTAAAACCATTCTGTGATAATGAGTTTTACTTACCGCCTATTCTTAAAATAGGTTTGCTTAGAGAATCTAAAAAAAATCAAAAAAAATCAAAAAATCAAAAATCAATTTCTAAAGTTAAATTTCTATATTTATTGCGTTAATATATTTCATTTTATATTTTATTTTTACTTCACAGAAAGTCTGTCGTACACGTAAATGAGGTCAGCCCTAAAGTAGAAAAATCACTCGACTTTCGCACTTTTTTGGATGCTGAACACTTACTAATGAAGTCCGGCATTGTGTACGCTTTCAGTCTTGTTATTTCTCTCTTTAACTTTACCAACCACCTTCCTATTACCAACCTTCTTTCTTTTCTTTTCCTTATGCATTATCAATTATATCATCTAAATTTCTAAAACGTCCCTAAAACGGAACCTTGGTGGTTTTTAGCGTCGCGATAGCCCAGAGAACATTAAACAACTATCAACGATCCTGTTAAAAAATAATTATAGTAAAAATCAAAATTAAGTAATATGGTTTTTACCTTCAACTAAAAGAGCAATGATCAGAACACAAAGCAGGACAGCTTTCATGATGGACGATGGCTGGTCTTTTAAGAGAAATATCAGTGTCCAAGTTAATTGTAGCTAGTTGTTTGGTTGGAGAGCAGATTCTACCTTGATATATCATCTGTGAAATGCAAATAGTACGACAGCTGGGAAAAGTGCAATTTTGTACAGCTGTGACGTGTGGGGATATGATATGATCGCCTAAGGGAAAATGTGTTGTATTAAGGAAGTATAATGGATGAATAGCATTTGTAATAAAGGGACTATTTCAGGAACAAGAAGAAACTAATTAACACACTATAGAAATTAAAAGTTAATAAAATCATGAATGATAGAGTTAGGGAAAGCGAAAGAAAATTTGAAAGAGAAGATAGAAAGAGAAAATAGAAATTGAAGAGAATTAAGAAAGAAAGAAAGAAAGAAAGGAAGGAAGGAAG